AATACTCGAGAAGAACATTTTACCATCATTATCACTATTACTGATTGTTTTGTTGTTTTTTATTGTTGTTATAAATTGTTATATTGTTGTGTTTTGTGCGCGCGGTCACGGGCTGTACAGCATTCGTGCGGGGATTTATCTAAAACCTCGTTTTTCCTCGAGCACGTCAGAACGGCAGCCGGCAAGTGTGCAACGTCCACACGCTTGTAAACGGTAGATCAATAAAAATAAAAAACAAACGTACACACTCGACGTGTGCGTGATAAGTGTAGGCATTATTAACGATTAACCGGTACCAGAAAACGAAAAGTAGACCTGAAAACGGGAACCGGCACGCCCTGTGGCCAGAAACGAGTACCTGTTTATACTCGACCGAAGCGCGGGAAAACTACGGGAAACGTCGAACATTACAGGATACCTCGACCACGGTTTTCGCGAATAGTACGTGCACGGGGTGTCCCGCGAACACGTGAACGTTTTTAACGCGACACCCGTCCCGTGTTCGCGGCACACCGTAAAACGTGCAACGTAATCCCGTACGATTAATATTCAACGCGACGAGATTGTATGCGTTTTAATGGAATTTAAAATCACTGCGAACGCTGCGAATTATGCGTACCGTACACACTACAGTGCGCGCATCGCGTACATTGTCCCTTTGGCGAATCCCATTATTATTATTATTATTATTATGTATTCGTGCGGTAGTTCATACGAAATGCACATGTTTATACAAATTCGTGCGCAACGAAGAGCGAAAAAACTGTATAAACGTACACGACGGTACTCGCTTGAATGCATAATAACACGTCCGTAGAACTTGCACTTTGTAGGTAAATTTTTTTTTCAGTTTCACATAATTTTATTTTTTAATTTCTAAATACATAGCTTTTTTTCCAACCCTCGTGACGGCATACGCGCGGTGCGACGCACTTGAATACAGCCCTATCGTAAACCTGATTAACGCTGCAAATGTATCTGAGCGTGTGTGTATGTGTGTATGTGTATTTAGCATAAACTATGTTAAATATTAATCACATTACCGTATGCGTGTGTGATTCGATTGTTGTAATATTTTGGATGGAGTACCGACGAGGAGTAAATACACAATGCATAAGGTTAACTCGATTAACAAATTATCATTACCGTACAACAATAATACATGTACATCACGGACTATCGTTATGCACACACATTGTTTGAATTTGCCGCGTTAATGTGGTCATATTTTATGTGAAATTTGATTTTATTTTTTTTTTTTTTTTAAGTTTTTTCACGTTCATTAATCGAGCGTTTCCGGTTTCTACGAGTTGCTTTCCCGCTTCAGCCTGCAACCGATTTAAGTGGCGTAACGTATTAAAAGGTGTTTTAATGGGTAGCCATTAATTTTTGTTTTTATCTACCCGTTAATAAATAGGACGTTAAATTATTGTCTAGCGGTGTACATTACGGAACATTGAACAACCATCACGGACATACGGGTGCGTAACCCGATGCAAAATTGCTTATGGTTTTCTCTTCATTAGGATTTATTAGTTTTAACCGTTCGGAGTGGATGGCATCAGCACGATAGCACTGTAATATTATGCAATATGCTTATTAATTGAACAGCCACCGCCTAACGCGACGTGTTCGAAACGAAATATCTTTTTAACGATATAAATGCGCGTATTTATAAAAAAAAAAAAAACAAGTGCCCCCGAGCATTATATACCTACAAAGCGTATACGAAGGGTATATTATAATAATAATCGCAATCGTATAACGTGTGGACCGTTATCGTAATTGAAATTAATTGTCATGGTATCATAATATGATGTGTACTTATGATATACGTTCCGATGTATCGTTAATATCTGCGTTCTATACACGACAATATCATTTGAATTTCCATTATTTAATATTGCAATGAATTCACGGGACAAAAGCGTAACACCTATGATTCCAAATTTACATAAGATATTTACGAAATAAATCAGACAAAACCTATGGATTGCACGGAAAAACAATCATTACTAGATAATAATCGACTCTCAATCGATTTAATTATTATTCAAATATATATAATTATGATTCTATGAGTTATAAGTACCCAAGTTAAACTTAATCTCATTCCTTATTACAAAAATAAAAATATTAAAGTCGCAACATACGACGTGTATTTTGTCATGAAAATATAAACTACACGTTTTGAACAATCATTATACGCCCTTTTATATCGTTACATTAAATATTAATAATTTCCAACAAACTAAAATAATAAAAATATACTAAGTATATATTAGAGCTCTACCTAGAGAATTATTTTATTTTTAATTTATAGACATATCTACCGTATTCACGAATATTGGAATTATAAAACCATTTATCGTTATCAAATATTAATAAACACGGCGAATAACGATATTTTATACGTAGATACTATTTATTTATTTAAATGCATTTTCAAAGAATTATAGAATCATATAATACAGCTTAATTGTTATGTGCTATAAAGTCAATGCGTGTTCGTTTCAAAAGTATTTTACAAGTTTTTTAAGTAACAATATTATCTATTTATAATAGGTATAATAAAGACTATGAATACACTAGTGTATACATATCTTTTGTCAAAAAATTAATAGATGTTAAATTATAAACATGTTATACATCGAATATTGTTTTTTGTCGTTACACGTTATCTTTTAGTTTTTAATTATTTTATATCCTACCAAATATTATAGTTAATGTTTAAATATTTAATTTTTAATTAAAATTGTAAATTTTTCGCGTTAGTAAATTGTTTATTAAAACAAATATGAGCTAAATAGAACTTAAGAAATAATTTGATCGCTAAAGAGTTTTATCAGAGTATTCATATTGATTATAAATATTATAATTTTTATGAATACGTGGTTAAATCGTATACAATTTATCATACCAATAAATCTCTCAAAAACAGTAATGTAACAGCATTATAATTATTCTCAAATCATTGTCATGCATTATTCATTTAACTTAATGTAATAAATTGTAACGGTTTAATTTAACAACTATCCAATTACTAAGCCTTTAAGTAGTATTATAAACATACCGTAGGATATAGCCAGGGTTGTATTTAAGATTTTTCCACCCAAGGGCAACAAAAGTTGCCACACCTCTTCCCTAAAGTGCAAAATAGAAAACTAGTATCTTCTACTATTTATTTATAAGCTGCTTAATACGCACGCAATTCATTTTCTCAATTTCAGTGCACTATTATACAATATTTGTAATTTTATAAAATCCAAAATAAGTACTGAGTTTCATTTACCTAAATAAAGTTTTAGAAAAAGTTTTTTATAAGACTGATTGATGGTAGGTACTCTCCAATCTTATCCGGCCACCCATTGCCATACAAATCAAGATTAAATCAATACCCATATCTCAATCATATTTAAATACAATACTCTAAAATAAATAAATAAATTGCGTACGCTTCTAAATAATATAAATAATTTTATAATATTACATTTATTTTTAAAATAATTTTATTTATTTATCATTTATAAATAATTGTCCATTGAAAATGCGAAAAAATCGATTAGTTTTTATTTAGAATCACCTTAAATATTTTATCGACCCCTTAAATATTTCAAGTGGAATATTGTCACCTTGAACCATCCCTTAAATATGGCCCTGGGTATAACGTATATTTTACGGACATGATCATACGAATAGGTAAATCAATAGGGAATGTATAGCGACGATTTAAGAATAGTGAACTTTGGTTTTCTTTCTTATGACCACAAAAAACAACTTCAAATATCTATATCTGTATTATACTATGTATGACAATATTGTACAATGTATGACTATAATAGTCATAATAAATTATTTTGATTTACTGATAAGTAAATCTTGGCTTTAATTAAATATTTGACTATCACTCTTCAAAGTTATTACACAAGTTATAAGATTTAAATGTAAAAATATTACATTTTCGATTTTAGTACACGAACAATTCAACGTTTGTTGAAAATTTAACTACACCGGGATTTTTCTCACTGCATTATGCGTACATCTGAATATCATATTTCAACAAATGTATACATCCGAAGATCCGATGATCGCAACGAATCTCCGTGCTGATGCAGAAAAATGCAATAATTGCGATCCAACAACCGACGTGCAGTGTACTCGAAAAGAAATTCAGTTTTTCGGCGAGATATATATATATATATATAAATATATACGATATACATTAAAAGGAACGTAAAATTTAAGTTGTTTACAATACTTCGTGCAAAAAACTAATTGACATTTCAACGCTGTACCATTATTCGATCACATCAATGTTATTTGTGTAAACATTTATCTATGAGGAGGACTTTGTGTTACTATAAACGGCCAGTTTTTAAAAACTTACGACCGAGCTACGCATGGTGTTCAACACGATGGATTCGACTGCCCGGTGACATAAGTATTGTTTACCTGTAGAAATGTGTTATATTTTGATATTAAGTAACCGAAGCAGTTCGATAGTCGAACAATTAGTAATTAACAAATGTCCAACGTTTTCTCGATTCGTTTTCCGGAATAAATCTTAGTCGTGCGCTTTGGCGCTTCAACATGTAATCCGAAATATCATGATATTGTACCCGCAGATAAACCTACAGATCGTAAAACGCTTTTGAATAATATAAATAATTTTACAGTATTACTTTTATTTTTCGAATAATTAGATTTATTCATCATTCATAATTTTTCGTTGAAAATACGAAAAAATCGAATTTTTTTTATTTAGAATAACCGTAAATATTTTGTCGCATCCATAAATATTTCAGGTGGAATAATGCCACCCTGAACCACCCCTTAAATATGACCATGGATATAGCCCTGGGCGGTAGTCGTCAGAACATTCGACTATGTACAATAATCGCAACACTACCCTCTAGTCTGGTTCGGCGCGTATTACAGACGCACGTCAGCCTAACGATACAATATATATATCCGTATATCAGTAATGTTACGTGGTTTACCGTTGTGTTTGGCTTTCGGCGTGACCAGGCGGAACGCGCTGCTGCCGCCTCCGCCGGCGGTCCCGTGATGGTGGTGCCCGTTGACGGCCGCGGCCACCACGCTCATGGCTGCGCCGCCGCCGGTGTGATGGTGGTGCTGGTGATGGTCGTGCTGCATGTACTTGAGCAGGCCAGCGGGCGATAGGGCCGACGACGGGCCCAGGTGGTGATGGCGGTGGTTGTTGTTGTCGCTGCTGGACGCGGCCGCGGACGTGGACGATCCGTTGCCGCCGTCACCGCCAACGCCGCCGCCGCCGCCGGCGCTGCAACCGACGGCCGCGGACGGCGACGAGGACGACGACGAGGACGACGAGCACGTCCGGACGGCGGACGACGGTTGCGCGCGCTTGACGGACACGCTGAAGTCGATCGGCGTGGACACGGTGATCTCCATCGCGCGGGA